GTAGTTAACGCAACTGTGTTTGTGCCGTAATCTTGGTTGTGACTTGAGATGAATAAAGAGGGAACACAATGCACATTGTTGGATCATTCATTTCTGACTTATGTTGACGACCACTTAAGATCCTTTTCAAAATAAATTGAAAAAATCAAGTGTAAAAATATAAAAGAAAAAGGGAGTCGCCACTCGTCCAAATTGTAAGGTGGGACAAGTCACCTAAAACAGGTCTGCGTAAAGATCGAGGTTCGGGGGTTCGGTTAGGAGTGAGGAAGGGCATATGCGCACCTCACAATCCTCCGTTTAAACACGGTTGCATACTTTAAAATTGGGGTTTTAATTCAACTTATTTATTATGTTTATGTTTGAGTCTTAAAAAGCAAACTTGAAAAAGAGATAAACCGAATCAAAACATTTTTTTTTATTTTTGGACTGAAATAGACAATCAAGAACATGCATGCACAATAAACACAAACAAAATTTAAATGGACTGATTTGAAAAAGTTTAAAACTTTTGAACTAAAGTGCTTAAACATGAAAAGATTGTGTGAAATTGAAATAAAAGAGATAACTTTTGATTTTTTTACTTTTTTACTTTTTTTAGTTTTTTTTTTTTATTGGATTGGGTCGGGTTGATCCATCCAAAAACACGAACCCACCAACCAAAGTGGGCAAAAACAGATTAAAAGCTAGACCAAAATGAAATCTGGACAGAAACAGAAAGGATCTGGATTTTCTGTTTGGCCATCCAACAGAACAGAACAAAGAAAGCAACTAAACATCCATTCCAATTCGGATCCATGAAATTCAACAAACATGCTTGATTTCATTTGCAGTATCATCATCTAGTACAGTTTTAATAAAGCAAAACTCTATGACAATCAGAATCAAACAAGGCGAAATTTCTGGAAAAAAGCAGATTGAGATCCGAAGGGAGGGATCCCACCCACGGGATCAAGCTCCCTTCTTCTCCCTCACGGCTCTCCCAAAAATTCCTCTGTTCAGAAATTACCTAAGCCAATGAAACCCAGAAAATGAAACCAGAAAATGAAGCTCCTCTGGAAGCTCAGTGATCCTTCCTCTCAACCACAGTTGTTGCCCCCTTTCTTCTCCAGTAAATCCCCTTCTATTGCTCTCAAAAACTCAGACGAAACTCCCCAACAAAGAGACCCAAAATCAACCAACAAAACCAACAAAACCCACCCCCTATTACTCTGCTTTTGCCCTATATATATACCCCAAATGATAAAAATAAAAATAAAATGCAACCAAAGACAAGGGCCTTGCTCTGTCAATCAATGATGCCAATTTGTCCGGTACTCCTTGTCTTTTCTGCATGTGAGGCAAGGATGGGGGCTGCAGTAATCAGCGGTGCAGAGGCGCGGGATTGGGGGTGAGGCGCGGTGTGCAGGGAGGCAGGGGCGTGGAGTGCTGATGATGGCTCGGGCGTGCAGGGGCATCATTGCCAGCAGTGGGGCGCAGCAGGGCAAGCAGAGTGCGGGCGATCTGGTGCAGAGCGCAGGAGCTGGTGCAGAGCAAAGCTGGTGCAGGAAGCAAGGCCGAGCGCAGCAGAGTGCAGGCTGGGGCAGAGTGCGAACGATCTGGGCGCAGAGCAGGGAGCAGGGGCGTAGGTGCAGGGCTGGTGCAGGGCAGGGATTGGGCGCAGAGTGCAGGCGCGCAGAGGCCAGGGATGCAGGGCCGGTGCAGAGCAAGGCTGGGCGCATGAGCTAGGGGCGTAGGAGCTAGGGGTGCTGAGCAGGGGGCGTTGGTTCGTGCAGAGGAGAGGAAAGATTGATGGGGGAGGGAGAAGGTTCCAGATCTTCCTTTTTTTTTTTGTTTAGGTTAAATAGGTTTGGGTTTGAGTAATTGTGGGTTTTGGGATTTTGGGCTTAGGTAGTTGGTAGGCTTTGGATTTTGGTGGGTTTTGGGCAATTGGGTTTGAGTTTGGGTTTTGGTTTGGGGTTTGATGGGTTTTGGGCTGGATTTTGCATTTCACCCCTCCAACTTTTCATTTCTTCAATTGAGTCCTTTCTCTCATCTTCCTTCCCAATCTTCTTCGGAAAATTTCCTTTTTGCTCTTGAACCTAACAAGGAAAACAAAAACAAAACATATTAGTTAAAATAAAAATAAAATTCTATTAAAATTTGAGTTATGACAACTGATCATACATTCTAGAAGCTTCACCACTTGCATGAAAGGTAGCGTTAATATCAAAGCATCCAGCTCCTACTTGTTGAAAAAAGAACTTGCTGAAAAAGAGAGGCTTGAACTTGAAATCTTGGATCAATCACCTATTAACTAATCCTGTAGTTGACTTGAAAACAGCAAAAGGTTTAATTAGATGCTGCAAGACAAAAACAGAACAAGAACTAATTATAAGTTGGGTGTTACACAGTTTCAAGGAAGCAGACACTAAAATTATGGGAAATGTGATGATAAATAAGAACAAGATGGGGGGAGGGCCAAATATGAGCATCACATACCACTGGAGAAGATACTAGGACGTAATTACTAACTTTGATGACTTCCCAAAGGAGACATTTGTAAATGGAGTGGTTTTTTCTGGAGAGGATTTTGGTGGTGGGGGAGGTGATGGGGCAACAGTAGCTGTTACAGGAGCTGACTCATTCATAGGTTTAGTTGGAATAGGTGGTGCTGTTGTGGGGGAATATTGGACGAAGGTGCTTTTGTTGCCCCAATATTCCGTTTCAGAATTCAGATGCATCTCAAAGTCTCCAATCTGTCATGAAATAACAAATAGCAAATAAGCTAAAGCACCATATCAAATGGCAATACATACAAAATGATAATAACCCAAAGCTGGCCACTTGCAAGGCTTTACACCTAAAAATCTAATTGGTATTTAAACTTTTATCACTCATGATAAATAAATAAATTTTGATATTTAAAATTTAAGGAATTTCTAAGTAAACTATGAAGAAATTATGTCTTCCAAAAGTTCAAGCAAATCAGTCAATAACAAGGGTAAAAGAATCAACCTTCATTTTCAGCTCAGCAATATATCTGTCTCGTCACAGACCTCTAGCATCAATTCATGATAAATTTGTAAATAAGAAATAAGCAAATTAAGCATAAACTAGAATCAGAGTAAAGCCAACATTTTCAGTCCAATATATCAAATGAACACCAAGATAAATTTTAATCAATATTCATCAAGAGATGAATTACAAACATAATAGAAACTAAACAATAGCCTAATGAAATTCAGAAAAAGACCACCTACAGGAAAGTGAATTAAGTGGTGAACACATTAAGTTGGTAGATATTCAGCTGTTGATCTAATGCCAAAAAGGTTTAATTTTGCACTACAGTTCACAGGTGTAGTGGTCAAAGTCCATAAATAAACGCCACTGCCTTGAGCAAACTATATTCAAGCTTTTTTTTACATGCATCTTGATTCATCTCAGATTTCTTCTTGAACTTCCTAAGGAAACAATCACTCAGCAAAGAAAATTAAACTAGAAACGTGTTTGCAGTTCAACAAAAAAAAAAAAAAAACCTAGAAATGTGTTTACCATGATCGCAAACCATTAACAAAAGAGCATGCATAACAAGCATCATCATGAATTATTTCTTTAGCATTGGCAAAAAATTAGTGA